GGACACATGGGAGCTCCAGCCATCCCAAATCACAGCAAGCACACAGAGCTCTGGCCACCCCAAATCCAGCCCCCCTGACACTCCTGATCCTGGGCTGCTCCTCAAACTGGGGCCCCACAGTCAGTGCACRAGGAGTTCAAATTAAATTCACAACAAACCTTCCCTGGAGGCTTTTCACAATCTGCTTTCTCAGCTTGTTTCATTCCCCTACATCCCAGGGCTTTGCATAACCTGTGGGCAGGTGTTACAGCTCACCTGGGCTGTGAGCAAAGCTTCACATCAGTTTCTACAGCTCACCTTGCCCTGGCTGTACCAGCACTCAAGTAATTTTGACTAAACCATATAATTTGCTTTTTTTTCTTCCAAATAGGACTTACTTTGTCTGACTAGAGGAATGAAAGGCTGAATTTGGGGCACCCACAGTCCACAGRAGAGCTTGCCATATATAAGCAAGAGGAGGGAGGAAGGGAGACACTCAGAAAACCCACACACAAGTGGTTTSGCTAAAGTTGGCAACTGGCAAAGAAATTAAAAATCCATCTGTAACAAGGGAAACTCTGGACAAACAAAAGCAAGTTTTCATTAACAAATCCTGAATTTGTCTCAGCTTTGAGGTTTTGTTGCTGTCAAGGCCTTTCCAAAACAATCCAGAGGCTCTTTTCTCCTTAAAACACCCTAGACAGACAGAGAAAAACTCCTTTCTGAAGCTCTGGTGAAGCATTATGGTATCATTCCACATCAAGTGCTGGAAAAACTTCCATGGTAGGAAAAAAAAGCTCAGTTTAACAAATACTACAGCTGTGAACATTTTACACTCAAAATGAATGCAGTTCTGTACACAAAGGCACTGATTTGCTTTGGAAACTGTTGGCCACAAAAGGAAAGTAACAAGGGAAAATCAGTGTATAATAACCACTGCAGTGGGAATGTTGCAGACAGAGACTGGGYGTGTGCTCAGCACAATATCTGGTAAGAGCCACGTGAGAAATGCCACCTTGCAGCTCTTCTCCTTTCAGATGGAAGGAAACTCCTTAGAAAGATGCATTTTACTTCATCAGCCCAAAATTTGGGTGATGTAGCTAGCGGGGAGGTGCATCTGAACAGCTCAGGTTTGTACCTCCCTCCACAGTGAGCTCTACACACGGAGAGCTGAGCAGGGATTTACCAGCACTGCCAGGCCTATGCTAAAACAGCTCTTCTCGTGTTTAGGTTTGAGCCTAAAGAGAGCTCATGGAGTGATTCCTTCAGCAAAACTGCACACAAAGCTCTTCCTTTCAGCAGCAAACAAACCCAGAGCAGGACAGTCAMGATTCCTGCACCAAACCAAAGCAGCAAGAAGGACACGTCAGAACAGAAAACTGCACTGTGCATGTTTACACACATCCTCATGCTCTTACTACAATGTATTTGAGTTTGAAACCAGAAAGGCCCCAAAACACCTATTTCCATTGGCTGCCACCATCCAAACCAGCCACAGGCTTCTGAAATCACCTGGCCAAAACATCATTTTTGCTACATACTCTTCCTGTAAGAGGCATTTGAGCCCAGCACATACGTCATGTTCCAAACACCACATCCCAACCACCAAGATCAACGTTTTAGGACAGCTGGAAGAGCCTGTCTGACTACAGACAGCCAAGCAAAAAGGTCAGAGGGAAGAGGAATGCTTTTTGGCTTCCCATTATCCATTTCATGTTTCTTCCAGAACAATCTCAAGCCAGACTGATGTGGAACAAGGCTTGCAATGAGACTAAAGTGAAAAAAAATTACATTTGTGGCAGCTTTAGAGGATCCTCTTCTTGTGTGGAACATTCTACAGACAACAGCAAGATGCATTTAACGGTTCTCCTTGATAACAGAGGGGATCCAGGACCACCCTGGTTAGTAGCAAAGATGGTACCAATCCCATYAGCAGAGTCAACAGAGCCTCATGTGTCATCTGCTTCTTCACCCCTAGTGCTGGCTTTGCTTTGCTCAGAACAGTTTCCTGGCTACTCAGGAACACCTCTTTTTCTCCAAAGGAAGATGTTGTGCAAGTTGCCTGCAAGCACAGAACAAACCCAGCCATGCCCACCACGCCGAGCCCTCACTCACCCCGGCAGAAGTCCATGAGGATCAGCACTTCCCACACGTCCCCGCTGCTGACAGAGTTGATACTGGAGTCGATGTACCCCACAATGTTCTTGTGGCCAGACAGATCCCKCTGCAAGACAAATTCACACCATGGACCAGCCATGCAGACTGAGCAACGTTTTCATCCAGTTCCCCCACACTGCACAAGCTTCTGTCACTTGGGATTAATCATCACACAGAGCTTGAGTGAACCTGAGCTCTGTCTCTACCTGTTTTCCTTCCAGAAGGATCTGAGACAAACTGCAGCCAACCCATAGAATTAACTTGTTCAGGAATGGCCCAKATTTTGGCACATTCCCCAAGGTGGGCTTGGCCAAGCACCAGGAGCTGCTCCCCTTCTASCAGAGGGAGGACAGGGCAGATGGTGGTGGAGGCCATGCAGTACATGTTGGCCTTACTTGTCTCATCTCCTTCCAACTCTTCTGCTGACAAAACACATCTCAAATTTTCACATGTTAAAAAAAACCCACTTATACAAAAAAAAGAATTTTAACCTTCCTTTTAGAAGTGTCTTAAGTAGCTYGATGGATTMAACAGACTGGTTTGGGTTGGAAGGGGCCTTACAGATCCATCAAATTCCAACGTCCTGCCATGGGGACACAGGCTAAAATGCAGGGAAGAATTGTTTCTTTGGGACTGACAGTWTCACACACAATCCCAGCTGTGACAGCCAACCCAGTTTGATGTTCAGCTTCACCAGTAAAGGAAAYCAAGGTTCTGCAGGGCACATTCTGCTGTAACACTGTAGGGCTGCAAAAACTTTATTCATGTGTAAAATCATCTTATTGCAGAAGAACTGTGAAAGAAGTAAACATTTCCTTTTAGGGATGCACTGGTTCTTCAGGCCACAGACAAGTGCCTGGGATAAGATCCAGCCTGGGAGCAGGCAGACCTGCCAGGTAAGAAGGACACTCCTCACCCTTACTTTCCAGTGAGCCACTGTTCCAAAGGCACTGAAGACATGGAGATGAGAAAGCAGCAGCAAGTGAAACCCAAGTAAACAAGCTTTGTGAGCACAGCTAAAGCTTTGATTAAGATCTAATCTCACCTTTTCCCACGTAGCCACAGGGATGCCAAAACAAGCTCAAAGCTTCCCTTTGCTATCACAAACTACAGCAGTTCACTTTAAAGCTATTAACCTAATTAAAAGCTATTTCAAAAATCACACCCAGAATTGCTACAGGTAAGAGTTTCTSATAGGAAGATCATCTACCCCAAACCTGTACCTTGTGTGGTAAACTCACAAAATGAGGATTTTGTGTTTCCTTCCCCACCTGGCAGCTGCTCTAAATGTTCATCAGATCTTTGAATACAACTTCAAAAGTGGCACTTCCCATGTTTAGCATGCTGCAAACAAGATTAGGCAAATCTATTTGGATCATCTCCATTTTGTAATTGTTTAGAGAAGATAAGTTTAAAACAGATATTAAAAATAGCTATCCCATCATATAAATCTTTGTGTCCAATAATCTAGAGAAACATCCCAGAGCTTATACAAATAYTTTACATTTCAAAAGCCCTTGCAGCAACTACCTCACAAATACTGTTTCAATCTACCAACCTCATCAATGCAGAGATAACCCTCATCCCAGGCCAAAGGATTAGAAGCTGTTGCAATACAGATTTTATCTCAGGATGGAGGTCTGCCATTCATGCACTGATTTCAGTTCAGAGACATCAGAATCATCCACCTTTTCTGACCAAGTTTAAAAGGCTGAAGACTTGGGAGCTCTCAGCTGAAGAYTGTGAGATTTTGAATTCCAACACCCACATCAGCATGGGTGCCTCTTTAGCCCTTCCTTTTCCCATTAAGCCACACAGTCCTCCCCTCATTTTCCTGAAACTCCCTGTTTTTTTCATGTACCAGGTTTTCTTTGTCCACTAGAACTGTTTACTTTCAAAATAGCTCAGTACCAGATTTTCACACAGTCACGTAACTCCAGGARTCAGGTCTTTCCACACAAAAGCCAAAACACAGTTTGTGAGCTGAWGCCCCAGAGTTGACAGGCAGAAGGCAAGCAGGCTCCCACCCCACTGCACCCCAGTTTGGGGCCCCAGAACAGAGTGGCAGCTCACCATGATCTGGATTTCTCTCTTGCAGACCTGCAGGTCGTACTCGTTATTGACGTACATCCTCTTCAGGGCACATTTCACCCCATTGCTTGTCCTCACTAGGAACACGATTGCAAAGCCACCTATGGAAGAACAAAATCACTGCACATTAACAAGAAACTTCTTGCTTTTTCCTCCCAACCCTGCCCCTGCCAGGGGAGTACAGTACGAAGAAGAGGGAGGGCACTGAGAAGCTCCCACCACTCCATAGTGGGGAATGATCCTTCCCATGCTCATCTCCAGAGCTTCCAGATCTGCCTGGACAGTTATTTCTACAAACTAAAAGGATCCAAGGGGGTCAATCTTCAATTAATGGCAACGAAGTTAACATTTAACATCTCCATAAAAACGAGCAATTACACCAGTTCCTGGTCCTGCCAGACAGCCCCTCATTGCTCCATTAATCCCCACTATGAAGAAGAAAGCTGAAGGACAGCAATGCTGCCTTGGACAGAAATCAGAGCTGCAGATCACCCACTGAACCACCAAAGGCCTAAATTTAAAAGGCTCTGCAACTTTGAAGCATCTAAGTTACATTATAAAGCTGATTTGTGCAAGAAGCAGAAGAAACATCTCCCACATGTGGTTTGATGTTAATGCTTTTAAATCAGGACAGAAGAACAAGGAAAAAACCCACAATTCATTCTGTGGTCATTGCTATTAGTAAAGTCAGGACGCCCAGGATAAATGGACTTGTTTCAGATGAAAACAGGCACTCTGTCTGCCTTTCATCTCAGTCAGTTCTCCATCCAAACACATGGGTTTACATTTGTAGTCCTGGCAGAAAGAAGCAGCTGATTGAATATGGAGAGATAGAGGTATCAAAAGTTTCACACCTGGCTCCAGAGATTGGAATGAATTTGGGCAGAGTAGCACAGATCCAGGAAGCCAGAGGTGCTGCACACTGGTAAAAAGGGAGGCACAATGATACTGCTGATGCCACAACCCAACAGCACCACACTGGATCTCCAGCACCTTCCACTGCACCACACATTTCTTTTATGTTCAAGGACTTCTAAAGACTCAGCTCACAAGACAGTTACCTAAGTCCCACTACAAGGAGAGCAGCAGTTGCACACCACAGAAGGCAAATTACATCCCAAAGAATTCCCTTTTTCCAATTCTGAGTTCTTTGGTGAATCCCATTCTTCAGAAGCTGCCAGAAGCCACCAGACCACCACCACACACAGTTCCACTGGACATGTTTGTGCCTCATGGTTGCTCAGAACTTGCATGAGTTGCCCCCATCACATGACATGTGACAAGCAAAGCCACATTTAGGTAAAATTTATTGTTAAAACAGGTGGCATATGACCCGAAAAGATAGAAAAAGAGCAAATAACCAGACAACACTGCTGTGCTTAATGAACTCTCCCTGTTCATTATCAATGGTTTTTATGACATTACAGCCCCTCTTCCCCATTGACACAGGAGATACCCATGCAGGTAACACACCTGGCAGCACAGAAACTGCTCAAGCAATCTCTCTTAGCAGGCAAACCCCTCACAAGTTTTACACAGCACAGTTTGCCATAGGAACTAGAGCAGGATTTCCAAGGAAGCCCCACCGACTTTTGGGAGCAGCCTCAGAGATGTAGCAGAAATAGGAAACAGAAAGAAAAAACAAAGCACAATAGAAACAAAAACAAACAAAACCAAAACAAAAACAAACAAAACCAAAACAAAAACAAACAAAACCAAAACAAACAAAAACACTAAGCATACACATACCCCCAAAAAAGCCCCCACCCCCCAAAGCATCAAGCCTTCAATTAAAGGTCTTAAAAACTATACCCAGGCTGCAAAATGGACATTCAAATTCAGACAACTGGGACATGGCCCAGCTGCTTGAACCCCCTCGCAGCTCTGGAGGGGCCTCTGTGCACAGTGCTCAATTCAGACCCAAAAATAACCCTGACAGTCTCCCTGAAGCTGCTTCAAGTTGAGCATCTCAAATTACAAGTAATTTTTAAGAGCTTCTGAATCCACAGCAGTAGCCTTATTGTTCTCCCCAGCCACATTTGTCTCGTTTTTGGAGAACAAATCCACACATCCCACTGTGAATCTTTAGCCCCCAGGGTGGCTGTGGAAAAGAGCAACACAGCACTGCACTGATTTTTCTTCCCCTCTTGTAGCCCACAATGGCGCCAGGAAGAAATARAAGACCCGTAACCAACACAATTTCCCCAAACCCTACTTCCCTGACAGTCTATATTTTTCARAATTGGCAAGATCAGGTTTGGACTTCTTTTTTTAAATTCCTGTACAATACTTCCACGGATCTCAGAAGAATTCTAGAGAAAACCAAAAAACACCAAAACCAAACCAACCAACCAAACAAAATAAATAAATATTAAAAAAAAACAACCCAAGAGTTGTTTTTTAAGATTCATTACACYCTCAGACACCATCAAAACTTTCTGGCAATCATAAGACTTTAGGATTTTTGGGTTCCTCCCTTTTCTCCCCTCCAAATGAGCAATCACGCATGAGAAGCCCCTACTCCACTCCAGGGGCTCAGTTCCCCTTTCCCAGCTCTGACCAGGCCAGCAGAATACAGGATCTCTGTTTATAGTGCTGTGCTTAGCAGAAAG